TTTTGGAGTGGAAACTTTAGGGAAAAGAACAAGAAAAGTTTTTTGTTTAAAGAATCTGGTAGTACCTCATTGATAAAAAAATCTTTTAGAACACTCAAAAACTGATTGACCCACAGTGTTCCAATTCTTCTGAAAAAAATCCATCGTGTAATCTATCGACACTAGGTGATATAAACGGCCCCATATCAATTAGGACGTTATTAATTTCCAAGTCTGAAACCGAAACTACCAAATTATCCAGATCTTCCTCATTACTTCTCAAAAACAGACCAAAAGAACCATAATATTGGTTATAATACTCTCACTTGTAAAGAGGGATTGATAAAAATCTTACACTATACGCAACAGTTTATCTACATCAATGCACCTGGTACCATCGATATGTTTTAAAGCTGCGATTTTGTTCAGCCTTCACCTAGCAAGTATGGATGCATGATAAAATTTGGTATTACAGTCTCCCTCTAAAACTCATTGCATGCTCGCCTTTTGTCTTCAAAACTTCTCTTCTTGTTCAAAAACAATATCCTCTAATTCAACTCTTAAGTTATCCCCTAAATCGACCAAAAAATTAGAATTACCCAACTAGAGAGCCCAGTCTGAACCCCTCAATTGTGCTAATAAAATCTTCTTATTTCTAATATTATCAAATATCTCGTTATTGCAAACTTCCGCTTCTGATTGGAATGAATTGATATTAGATTCAAATGTTGCATCCCTCTTCCAAACAGACCTTATAAAATCTTTGAATTTGGGATGATTTTGCCAATTCTCCATGTATCGAAAAGACCTATTTTAATTATGAGAACCTAAGTTTGCAAGTTGAAGAAGTAAAGGCCTATGATTTGATTCAAGTCTTTCCTAATGAATGAAGTAAGAATTAGGGAATGAATTTTCCGATATAGAGTTTCTCAAACATTTATCCAGTCTTTGATATAAATTTTCTCGAGACCAAGTAAAGAAAGGTCCTTGAAACCCTAAGTTGGATAACCCGACTTTATGAATGAACTCGAAAAATTATTGTCTACGTACAACATGGTGGGCCGAGCCCCCTGTCCAGATGAGTTCAAAATTACATTAAAGTCACCCCTATCACCCAAGGAACAGCATCACCTAGGTCTAAAGACGTAAGCTGATACCATAAGTGTTTACGTTTACAGCTATGGGGGCTTACATACACAATGAGGACCTGAATCCAAGTTTCATGTTCCGAAATACAAAATCTCTCATTAACAAATAGATTTGAAATGTGAGTAACTTCCAAAATAATATTATCCTCCCAAAGTAATCAAATTTCTCCACTGAAACCATAAACGATAGAAATTCAAACAACCCAGCTTCACAACAACACTATCAGCATTCCTTCCACTCAAGTGAGGTTCAAACAAAGTAACAACACTCATCTGTGACCGCGAATAAAAGCTTTAAAATACCTTCTAAATATCAGGTAAGCAGCACCTTGACAATTCGATAACATAAAACCAGTCATTAAAAATGATCTTTAAGAATAAGAACCTTAGTGTTTGACATTTGGACACAACATATTACGCATTCTATCTCCTAACATATCCTCCATAGGAATGTCCATGTGCAGAATAGAACCTAAACCTTCATGAGCATATTATCCCATCACAAAAGTACTTTTTGATGAAGTTGGATTAACCATCAAACCTTCAGTAATCAAGACGGAGAACAAAGTCCCGTGAAAAATTAAGACATGGAACGAAGTCCCATGTAGAATCAGGATGGGGAACAAAGTCCCATGCAGAATCATAAATGCATCAATATGTAAGTCATGAGCAATACAATATTATCCAGTAATCAGTTATATCTCAGATAATTCTAATGATGAACGTGCTTTCAAATATAACATACAATGTAATAGCATAAATACATCGAAAATTATCGAACAGGTCTAAAGAACACACCTAAAAGAGATGATCAAAATCGGCTAGGCTTTATGTTTCCCACGATCAGTAGTACTAGGTCTTAGGGATCGAGAACCTAAAATAGTACTCAACCATAAATACAAATGTCAATGAACCAAACAGAAATATACTATAAAATTACCAATTAATACTTATGTGTATCTCGGGACGAGCAATCAGAATCGAACTAAGAAGGACGAGACTGATCAGGGTCTATCAGAAAGTGATCCAAAGATACGAAGGTACGAAGGTACTTTCAAAAAATTAGACCAAAAAATGAGTTCAAAACATCACAAATTACTTAGCATAATAAAGACTGTAAACGAAAAATGATGCAAAATAGGGCCTTCATGTCATATTTTGGCCAAACAAACTGCAAAAATGGACTTAGGACGTCAAAAAACATAAAGATAGGTGTTTTCAAAAAAGTCAATAGTCAAAATCAACGGTCAATAGATTAATGGTCAAAGTCAACGGGTCAAGTTAGTCAACAAGTTGGGTCAGTTTGGTCAACAGGTCGGGTCAATCAATAGGTTAGTGACCGGTCCAACTAGTTTGGTCCATCAGAATATCAGTTCAGCCGGTTTTGTATTTGAAAACCGCATGGACAGTCCCACATACACAAGGGTGCGTGAGGGCATGTGGGACGCCGTCCAGTAGTGATTTTTGCACAAAAATTTCTAGAAAAAAAAAAGTACGGGGAACCACTTATCAAGGTCAATTCACGACGTGGAGAGACGGGATTGAATTTCTTTGAAAACTCAAAACTAAACTCTCTCGCCCACCGCTAATGGTAACAGAAAACGACAAACCAAGGGTACTGGACAATTGACAACAATGAGACATGCATAATGACGCTAGCGGTGAGAGTCACGATGACCGAAACAGAGACCAATCGGAAGGAAATTACAATAACAAATGAGAAAAAACTGTTTGGGGGAGTGGTTTAGCGCTCAAACGGGGAAGGAATGAAAAATGAGAAGAAAAAGAGATTTAAACTCTCAACCTTAAAGGTAAACTGTAGAAATAGCCCCTGTACTATCGAGAAATTTTAAATATGACGAACAATTTAAAAATGTTTCAATTAGGCCTAAAATTAAGACGTTATAACTATCCCCTTAAGAAAATTTCAGCCTCAAAATTTTACCTGGCTGAAAAAGATTGCTCCTCCACAGATTCCCTTGTCTCCCAGGTTGCCTATCGTAATAACCACACTTTTAAATAAAATAAAAATTAAAAGTTGAAATTAATTTAAGTAAATTTAAGGGACTAATTGCAAGTTTTAGAAACTTACAACTCGGTTTCAAAACTATGGGAATTTTATGGACTTAATCTTGAATTTTACCATTTTTCCTTGACAGTGAATAATAAAAAAATCTACAAGCACCAACTGTGGAGTCTCGAACCCCTGACCCCTGCCTTAGGGGATAAGGCCAGCCGTGCCCTAGCCATTTAAGCTAGGAACTGTTTGAGACATTTTTATTAAATATATATTATATTAGATAAAACCTGGTTAACCCTAAATATCCCTAAATTAGAAACCCTAATCCCTAACCCCTAAATTTCTTCCTTAGCCGAGCCCAAGCCATCGTCCCCAATTTTGCCTTCGTTCGGTCACCCTCGCGAGCGCCACCACTCCCAATTGATTCGTGACTGGTGAACAAAACCCCCCAAACCCCTCGTCCAAAATCTATGTCGTTCACTGCAAAACCCGTTGTAAAGCTTTGTCTTCTCCACCCCCGATCGCCTTGGTTTTACATATATTCCAGCCAAACCGTCGATCATCGTGCCTCACCGCCATCTCCATTGCATTCGTCGGCATCGTACAACCAAAACTCAATCGAATTGGTCCCTCATTGTCGCACCACCGTCAACTTCCATTGGGAGGTAAGATTCAAATATTATTCGTCTGTTGGTCTAGGAAGCTTATCAAAACTATCCAACTGGACTGAACCAGTCCAGTCAAACCGGTCTGAGCCAAGTCAACTCAGCTGAGTCAATTCGCCTAAGTCAACCCGGACCGAGTCAACTCATCCGAGTCAACCTATTGACATTGACCGATAAGTCAAAATTTTCAAAAAATCATATTTTATGTTTTTCGACGTTCTGAGTCCGAATCTGAAGTCCATTTAACCAAATTCTCACTCGATAAGCCATTTTCAGTGTTTTATCTTCGGATTCAATTTGGTTTTTCGATTAAGTTTAGTTTTTGACGTAAATTCTGTTGTTATGTATCCAAGACATTATGGGAAATGGAATTAAAGTTTGAGGGTAATCGAATGGAGTTTAAATATTCTATCAGTGAAGCACGAAAATTGAGGTAATATATTACTACCTTATGTATACTTTATGGAGCATGTTGGCAATGGTTAATGCATAGACGAATATGTTTGGATACATGCGTTTAATTAATATATTTCTAAACTCGATCCAAATGCGATGAAAAGTAATTAAACTAAATATGACTCAGATTTCATGCAAAAGACACTATAAGACTAATAAGAAATAATTTCAGGTTCAGTGATTAACTGATAAAGAAATCAACCTCAAAATCTTTAAATTCTAATAATCTTCGTTAAAAGTTTTAATATCGAAATCACATGGTTAGGAAATTAAAAAATTACCCCTGTGAGGTAAAAATGGTGTTGACTGACCCTGATAATGAAAGTACCCTGAGAATTCGTATTTAATCCAACAAATTATTATTTCGTCTATTAAATTCCCAATCTGCTCTTTGAAAAAAATTGAATTAAATGAAAAGTCTGGATAGAAGGAAATGACATACTTGGCCAATTATAAAAAAAAAGTGCATATGTTTGGATTGAAAGGAATTACGGAAATTTCATTGAACTGCGAAATAACTAAAATAACCTCCTATATTCAAATGATTGAAATACCCTTAACCCCAAAAAAATTAAAAATACCTTGAACTTCAAGATGTCTGAAGTAACCTTGAGTGTTGAAGTGACCTAAATATCCTAACGACTTGGAATAAGTGAATGTCTTCGGATAAATTCTAGAAACACCAGTAACTTATGTTGTATCATCCCTAAAGGTTATGGAGTATAACTCAAGTATGTTGGGTATTCTTTATACTGATACATCACAGAAAAATATAATACCATCCAATTCATGATTGTCTCCTCTAGTTCCGTTCAGTGGTGATTCTGGAATTGACTAGTTCAACCAGTGTAATCAATATTAAAAACTGATTATTCGTGAAGTATATCAGTCCGGTTTATTAACAAGTTTTACAAGGTGGAGATCGATTAGTACCAGTTGAATCGAAGTCATGATAATGCGATATAAATTCAGAATAATGCAAACTATTGTTTTACCCTACTGAATTAAGTTACTAAGAAACCATCAGAAATTAAAATGTTCAAAATATCCCTAATTGTTTGAATAATGGAAACATTCATGTTATCTTTAGATCTTCAAAAATTTTGATGTAAAGTTTCTTGAGTACCTTTTTAATAAACTCGAATCTTAAATGATTTTTGAAACATCAATTTCTTCAGGTTGTTAGATATATTAATGAACATAGGGACCTTGATTCTAAATTCCGTCCAATCTACAGAACTTATACGTTTTTTCTTCTTTATAACGATCAATTGTCTCTGAAAAATATATGCATACTATATGATCTTGATAAATCACTTCCCGAATAAATGATGAATCTGTCAGTTATCAAACCCTTTTTTATAGGGATCTCATTTCTGAAATTTAATCAGTTTGCAAAAGTTTTATGTTTCCCCCACTTGATAATTTTAAGTACTTTCGAAAAATAAAATAATTGGATCCTTTAGTGTGTTCCCTATGTACTATATGATTATTTTATCTATTTTGAAATGCATTTCACCGAAATTTATGATTTACTGATTATGAATTATGGCTACATATGCGTTCTTTGATTACCTGTTTTCACTGGAAAATATAATCGTTCCTTATTTATCGATCATGGGATCTACTGGTTACTACTTGAATTGTTTTATTAGAACATTATCTAGGTAGGCTGGAGAATGGAGGTTCAGCTATAATCAAGCGGGTAGTTCCTTACGGACCTAAGGTGACCCTTAGGTAAGCTCTGAGGCCCAGAGAAACTTTCTTGGGTAGGCTCTGAGGCCCCAAGGCACTCCCTTGGGTAAATCCTAGGACTGCATATGGTGTATGGATAAAGGGTAGTTATGTAGTTTATTTCATTGTCACTCTTATAAGATTTTACTGGATCAAGATCATGATATTACAGTTTATTGTTAAATTTGATTCTATTGGATACTGTATGAGTAGGATTCTGGAGTATAGAGGTTCAGATCTGATCAGGTTGGTAATTTCTTACGGACCTAAGGATACCTTTGGGTAGGCCCGTAGGCCCCAAGGTACTCCATTAGGGTGGCCCATTTGTTGTGTTCTTAGGGTAAATCCTTATGGATGCAGTTATGGGGAAACTGCATAAAGGTGATCGGTTTGAGGGTATTTCTGTGATTTTAAAATATATTTTAAATTACTAACATTTTTTAAAGGATCTGTATACATTACTTTGTTTTTTTAACACACTAGATATCCTATTTCGATCTCCTGAACTTGGTTCTCTGAATGTTTCCTCTGAACTAAAATCTTCATGTATTTTACTCGCAGAAATATCCGTGGAACCACGGCTCATCCCGAAAACCTTTAGACGTCCGAATCGATAAGGAAATTTTTATGCTTGCCTATTATCTTCATATCCTTCAGCATCACTTGGTAGTTCTATATTACTGAGCTCCCCAAATCTCACTCTTTTACTCTCGTTTTCAGGTTAAAAGAATTGATACAGTGCATATATCGACATCTGTAATGGGTGCTTTGTTGGCTTGGATTGAAGAGTACGATACAAGTGTAATTATGGGGCATATATGTCACATTTGATTTTTATACTAAGTATGGGCTTGTATGATTTTAATTACGTTTGTATATATGAATGGTTTTTTGAACTTGTATTTTAATTATAAATTGTTTTATGATTTTACTCGTTTGAATAGAAATTTTAAAAAAAATTCGGGATTTTTACTGTGGGTCATTCCGGTGGCCCTAATGTGACACATCGAATCGGGTCACCCGCATCAGTTTGTAGGTGTTACACGATCAGGTCGCCTGCATTGGTTTGTGGGTGTTACACCTCTGAAGGACTATGGTTACTCCACAAAACCATAACCATTGGTATACATTGACTTCTCATAACTCGATCCTCATAGACAAGAATCCGAATAGGCTCTTCCTCATAACTCAAATCAGGATATTCTCAACAGAAATAACACGGGATGGGTTTAAACGGTAATGTCTCAACATAGAGACATGGAAGACATCATTGATGCACTCAAGTTCAGGTGGCAATTCAAGCTGATAAGCAATGAGACCAACTCAACGCAAAATCTGATAAGGGTCAATAAAACTCGGACTCAACTTGCCTTTACGGCCAAACCTGAGAACGTTTTTCTAATGAGATACTTTCAGAAAGACTCGGTCACCCACACCTAACTCAATATATTGTCTCTTCAAATCAACATGCGACTTTTGCCTATCAAAAGCAACCTTAAGCCTATCTCGGATCAGTATAATTGTACTCTCGGTCTCCTAAACAATATCAGGTCCTAAGATCCTCCTCTCGGATAACTCAGTCTAACACAACGGAGTACGACACTTATGACCATATAAAGCCTCATACGTTGCCATCTGAATATAGGTCTGATAACTGTTGTTGTAGGCAAACTCAGCTAATGGAAAGTGATAAGCTATACTGAAACTCAATCGAATACCAAGAGCTTCATAAAGAGCCTCTCAGAATTGTGATGTAAAGTATAGTTAGTTCAAACTAGAATGAAGTAAATAGATTTGGTGAGACGATTAACGATAATCCATAATAAATCCTTCTTGAACTGCGTCAAATGCAATCCATTAACAAAATCTATAGTTACCCGCTCTCATTTCTATTCAAGAATCTGAATGGGTTGAAGTAAACTAGACGGAAACTGATGCTTAACATTCACTTGCTAACAGGTCAAACACTTAACCACATACTCAATGACATCTCTTTTCAAACCAGAGGAGTTGTAACTTTTTCTGAGATTCTGATCATCTTAACACAACCAAAATGCATCGAATAGGGACTATCGTGAGCCTCACGTAAAATAGCAATCTGTAACTCAGGATAATTCAGAACACAGTAATGCCCTCAGAAACACGATACACCATCCTCATCAAACATGTACTCAGAATCAGAAACCTTGCTCAGTCCACTTTTTAATCGAAAACAGAGATGCATCATGAGATTGTTCCGACTTAATCTCAATTGATAAAGTATGTGTCGAAACGATTTTTTTTCATGGCGAGCGAAATTTTGAAAACGACACAATTTTTAATCTATTCTCTTTACGATTGAATTTTTAATTAAAAATAATGCGATTTAAAAACCTATCGTCTCGAAAAATTGGAAATTCCTTTACGAATAAAAAACATGGTTCTAAGAGTCACCACCAATCTTTGATTAGGGTGTGATTGGGCACCCAAAAACGTTGTCATTTTAAATAAAAATTAATTTTAATTAAAGCAACAAATTGTGGTCTGCGTTATCAAAATCTGGGTTCGAGAGTCGGTTACGTGTGGGGAAGGATTAGCACCCCCGCGACGCCCTAAATCGGTACCTAGTCGATTAATTAATGTCTTTGCAACAAAATTTACAAGTTCGAGTTTAATTTGATTTATGATCCCTTCAAACAACAAAATGCGGATTTTATAATATCCAAAAGCAACGAAATGGGTTAAATTAAAATTACCAAGCCATTAGAAAGATAAATAATATTCGATTATTTAAAAATATTGAGACCAGATCTTTAGGTCAGCTCTAACGACCTTTTCTCAATAAATTTAAATAGCCGAACATTTCTTTTTCTTTCACTCCCTAATTTTAAAGTGAATAATCAAATTTTTTAGTGACAATGACGGGATACACTTGTAATTTAAAATCGTCAAGAACAACTTTCCTGTAAGTTAAGAAAAGTCATTTTGACATTTTTAAATTAAAAGGGTATTACCCTTAATCCAATTATGTGGTTAGATCAAGTTATGCACGTGAAAATATCATGCAAAATACAACACTAGATTAATAAAATGATACAAAGAAAAACAAAACAAAACAAATGTAAATATAGAAAATAAATATATTATATAAATATATAAAAAGCAACAAAATTTGGGATTCGAATTAAAAATATATAAATGACTTTAAAAAATTGCTAATACCCCACGAAATGAATTCATGAAAAAAATGAATGCAAAACTTAAAACCATTAATAAATATATATATATACCTATGTAATAAATTAATCAATATTAATTCTAAAATTATACTTACTATAAATATAATTTTAAAAATATATACGTGAAACCTATTTTATTGAATACCAAAATAATACAACTACATGAGAATTATCTTGAGAATGTAACAACATAATGACTGAAGATAAATGTAAAATAAATTAAAGACTAAAACCATGAATTAAACAAAAATCAAGTCATAAAACATAACTTCTTACATTTTGTTTACTAAAATCAAAATAAACCCACGACTACATAAATGACTAAAATATAAATTTCAACAGGAGCAGACCCAATGTACAAACAAATGAAAATTTAAAATAACTAGATTCAGGGACTAAAATGAAACATACAAACATTTGAGGTTAAATGTCTAAACAATCAAAATTAAATAAACAACAATTAGGACTAAAATCAAATATGCGTAAAATAAAGAGACCAAATTAAAACATAAAAGACTCAATTTTAGGACTAAAATGAGTTACAAATAAAACCTAAATGGCTCACACAACCAATAGCCCATGCGCGAAGTGGGTACCTCCTATCTTCGATGAATCAGCAGTTTTAATACATGTGTATATACACTACTAAGGGTAAGAAAGAAACCCTAAAAATATCATCTAAACATTCATCAACTGCAATTTCTAAACTCTTTTCTCTCTCCCTACATCTTTTCTTCTTCTCTGAACCCGCACAACATTCTCTTCTCCCTCTCTAATCTTCTTCTTCGATCGGAACTAGGGGCCACCATAACTTAAAAATCCAACAGAACAATGGTCACCATGGCCGACGCTTGGCCACTCTATTGGCTACCACCTTGGAGGCCACTCTGCACTCGAGAGCAGCTACTCATAGATCCACTCAACCGGCACCGACAATGGTCATAATCACTAAGGTAAACATACTATTTTTTTAAGCTTTCTTTTTACTGTCGACCGAGACTCACTCCCTCAACACTCATACAGCGCCATGTCCAACGCTTGACTACCACCCCGATAGACTCCATACACGAACGAAAACAACCATTATAAAGCCCAAAGATGCTACCTTTACTAACCCTTTTTGACAGAGACCTCAAGAGTCTAACACCCATGCCGACCACCAGATTCCGGTGGTTATCATACTCTCCCATAAATACTGAAGCAATAGTCTAAATGACTAGTAAAGTCTCCCCTATCGACGAGAATCCGAACAGTTTACTATCTCCAGGCAGTAAATTATCACCACCGTAAACCCCGACCACCCCCAACGGTGGTCGATTGAACCTAGAAATGAACTTAATAAAAAACAGGGTATCTCCTTACTCATGTTTTGATTTTTTTTTTAATTTCAACTCTTTCTCTTCAACCATGGAAACCCGAACATCACAAGGTAAATCACCAAAACTCTTCTTCTCCTATTTTATCGAACTTATTTAACTTACTAAAACTAGCCCAACCCCTTACTTCGACAGTGTAGACTCGAATGGTTAAGAAGTAAAGCGAGATGAACTACAACTAAGGTAAACGTTTTAAGCTATCTTCTTTATGCTTTTGACTTGGTTTTGATTGTTTTAGCACATTGCTTTAAAAATAAAAAAATAACGAAAATGCTACTGCAATGAAGGATAAAGAAAAAAACCTTGAGATGAATAGACTTGGATGATAGGAAAAATCCCGTTTCTATTTTTTTCGAATGGAAGAATGGAATATCCCATTTTACAGATCTATTACTGGTTTTTTAATACTCTAATTACAAGAAATTTTCTTTTTTTTCTCTTTTCTTTTTCCCCTTCTTCTGCTTGATAAACTCTCCATTTTATCAATATTTTCTTCACCGATTACTTTGTTTGCATGTTGATTTTCTCTGCGTTTGGTGATATTAGGTTGAGCAAGTATTGACTTTGATACAATTTTCAGTGTTTAATTAATTTTTCCTTGATTCGGTGCATTGTTGATTTTATGCAGATTAGCTCCAACAGTGGCGATAGGTTGAGATATTAGCGTGATTGGTTGTTGCTCATACACATGGATGGGAACACCTCTTGTGCTTAAACTGATTTACTTGTAATTATTTTTAGGGATGTTGGATTTTTATTGGGCTTGCATTGGGCTCCGAGATTGCTTTTGTTGTAGTGGGCTTGAGTTACAAAATATGTAATTGTAAATTATTAGTATTAATAATAATAATATATTAATAATAATAATAATAATAATATATTTTAATCCCGGTCAAAAACGGGTGTCTATAGTATGCATAATTTCGAAGTTCAACTAACATGGTGCCATCATCATACAAACTCATACTAGCAAACATCGCCCTCAAATCAGTAGTCGCCCTACGAATCAAAGCATTAGCTACTACATTGGCCTTTTCAGGATGATATTCAATCTTGAAATCATAGTTTTTCAGAAACACTAACCAGAGACGTTGTCTCAAATTCAGATCCCTCTGGTTCAACAGATATTTCAGGCTTTTGTGATCGGTGTAGATATAATACTTTTCACCATAAAGGTAATGCCTTCAGATTTTCAATGTAATGACCACTGCAGCTAACTCTAGATCATACGTAGGGTAGTTACACTCCTATGGCTTCAACTAACAAGACGCATAAGCTACCACTCTATTATCCTGCATCATTATAGAACCCAAACTAGTATATGAAGCATCACTATAAATTGTATAATCCTTCCAAGACTCGAGTTGGATCAAAACTGGTGTTTGGGTCAAAACAAAATTTCAACTGCTTGAAACCCGATTGTTGAGCTTCACCATAGGAGAATGACATATATTTCTGTATAAGTTTTGTCAAAGGAGATGAAATCATAGAAAACCCTCTACAAACCTCCGATAATAACCCGCTAAGCCTAGAAAACTATGAACCTCAACCTTATTTTTCGATTATTTCCAATTCATAATAGCCTCAATCTTTTTCGGATTAACAGAAATACCCTTGGATGAAATAATGTGACCCAAGAATATCTCCTCGCTAAGCTAGAATTCATAGTTAC